CCACCTTATAATAACCTGCGATAGTTGAGTCTATTAGGGTAGAAAACGTAGAAGGTTAGTTACGTCACAACAGTGGGATGACCTTACATTAGTGATATGAGTTCAAGAACAATTAGTATTAAAATCCTAAATCGATTTCTTATGTTTGCATATGTTTTGTGAATTGCTTGATTTCTTATCTTAATTGATCTATCTATCCATTTACTTTATTGCTTGTTATTTGTTTAATTAAAAACCCCAAAAACCAAATCAGTGTTCACTTAGCTTAATTGGAATCATATGGGTTTGTAGTGCATTCATCACTTAGTCCTCAGTGGATCGACCCCTAAGTACTACAATTGTCTTTAGTGTGCATTTGCAGTTTCCTAGGGTTATAAATTTAAAACTCGTATTGCATCATTAAAACCCTGCACATCATATGACTTCTTCTCCGTCGGCCCCCTCCATTCGGGGATGGTGGCGGTTGCGGCGGAGAGCCGGTCTCTAGCCTCACCATGTTTTCCTTTGTGCTCTTCTAGGGGTATATCTCTGAGATTTCCAGTTGTTGGGGTTGTGGTTGCTTCACTTTTGCGGTCGTGGCCTTCACTTGTTCTTCTGCTAATTGGAGCCCCGATCTCTTAGCTTCTCCCTTCTAGAGTTGATGCAGTTCACTGGTTCAGTTTTGGTGGTCTAAGGTTTCAACTTTGCTTGATGAGACTCGTTTATTGGAGTGCTTCTCTTCTGGGTTATGGCCAAGGTCAGTAGTCATATTCATTAGGTTTGTTTTTCAGTGTGGCATCGCGGATGTGAGGGATTCGAGTTAGTGGATTATGTGTTTTGCCTTTGTTCCTTATGATGGTGTAGATTTGATTTGGTACTGCCTTCGGTGGAGGATTAGTGCTGTGTCATTGGACTACATCATTGTATTCTAGTTCCTATGGTTGTTGTCGAGCCTTGGTGTTGATTGTGTCTTCCTTGAAATGATGATGCATTGTTCGTTTGCTTGGCATTTTCGTGGGGCTTTGAAGCCTTGTTGGGGTGTATTAGAGGCCTAGTAGGATCATTGGTATTCAGTGTTTTTCAATTACATATCCGGCTTTGGACTAGCCAATGAAGTTGGTAGGATGAGCATGTACTGTTTGCTTCAATTGGGTTCGGTGTAGCTTAGTGTTTCTTTATCCAGCTCTGTACTAGCCGATGATCTTGGTAGGGGGAGCTTACACTGTTCGCTTTTATCAGTTTGGGAGATTTCTTATTGGTGTTAGCTCATGGTATTGTGTTGGAAGTCATTCTCACATGACGCGAGGGGAGTATGTAATCAAAGTCTTCTCTGACATTGCCATTGACGACCCTTTTTGAGCCTCCATTGAACGGCTTCTATTGCTATCGGTTTTTGTAGGTTCGGCTTTGGATCTGCGTTAAGTAACTTCATTTATTCACCTGTCTTAGGAAGAACAATTTGCATCGTCATCACTTCGCCGATCTTCATTTACCTTCGGGTTCATGTTGAGTGTGCAGACTGAAAAAAGTTTGGATTATGTTCTCATATTTTTATTTTTTGCCGTTAGACCATTTCATAGGTTTGTAATTCATTTTGCAAACCTAAAACTTATTCATTTTCAATAAAATATTTACCATTTAACAAAAACCATATGATTAAGAGTATAGAGTCCATAGACAGCGAATATGGAAAACTGGAAATCCACGAAAAGTATAAATTTGTGCCATAATATATTAATAAAATAAAGTTATATATAAAAGGGAAATTAGCATGAATAACACAAAAAAAAACTATAACTAAAATTCTAACAAATTAACCAGATCTAAAGGTTCATGTTTTGCCACACATGCTAATTTTCTTTACTTTTTAATTATAACTATATGACTTCCCGCACCGTGTGCGGGTTAAATATATTTTGTTAGAATAAAATTATAATTTACAATTATCAGTGTGTAGTATTGATGTTGAGATATGTGTTATATAATGATTATTGTAGATGCAAATGTAATTTATAAGAATGAAAATTATAATTTACTATTGTAAATTGGTAATAGTGATGTTTGGTATATGTTATATTATGATTGTTATTTATATGAATTTATGTTGACACAATATTGTTGTTTCTTTGTGTATCTCACTTTTAGTTATTTATATGATCAATGAATTTTCATTGTGATCTAAATGCAATATAATCACTGTTGTATTAACTTGGTGATGGTGTATAATCATGTACGGACATGAATATTTTTGAAAATATATGAATTTTAGTATTTTTAACGCAATAAATATTAATTTTGATATAAAAGTTGTAAGGATGTAGAAAACTATTATCATATATACAAATTTTTTACAATATATTCAAATTCAATGAAGAAACTATTATTAATGTTTGAATCTAAAACAGAACATCTTTAAATTCAAAAGACAATCTCAACATATTTCTCTACCAAGCTTTTATCAATTT